CATTTTCACATTGAAAACAATACTTTGTTTTTTGAAGATAGTTGCTTTAGGGTTCTTTTAATAATCTAATACTCTAAATATATGATTTGGTTGTAGGAATTGGTTTACAGTGTAGAACTTTTCTGGAATACATCTCTTCTATAAAGTGAAATTTAAATATATTTAGTTATTGTAGATCATTTAAACTCAAATAGTGGCTTACTGTTTTATAAAAAGCTTTCACAGCTATCTCATTTAAACCTCATAATGAGCTCTGACATAGAAAGGACATGCTGTATTCCCATTTTAGAGATAATGAATCTGAAGTTAATTAAGGTGAAGGACCCAGTTAAGCTCACATCATTTATAAATGGCCGAGCTGCTAACTAGGGAGACAAATGTAGCATATTGATGAATGCTTACCATGTACCAGGCACTACGTTTTCTCATGTAATCTTAAATAGTCTGAGAGGTAGAGTATAATTCTTATGAAGAAATAGTCTCAGCGGATGAACAAACAAAAAAATCTGCCTCTAATTTCCAAATTAGAATATAAGAAAATTTAAAATTGTGAAAACCTCATGGATTTGGGCAAACTGAATGTATAAGTTTTTGAAGTTGGCACAAAAAATATGAAATGAGGCCTACTCTTTTCAGTTAAACTTTTGTAATATTCGATTTGGAGTATTTGGGACAAATGTTCCATTAACTCTAAAATTCATTAATTCTGTATGTGTACTTAAATTTTGCATCTTGCAACTAAGTTTAGCCTCATTCAGGATTTTTTTATTTTATGAGCATAATTTATTGTTTTAAATTTATTTTTAGCTGATAGCCGTTAGCACTTAATATGTAAATTGAATAATTTATTACATATAGAATTTGTTAACCTAATCAGTTTTTACTTAAATGCACCAAAGATTTTAAGTAGGTATTAAAATAGTTTAAAAGAATTTAAATTCTTTGTTGTTTGAATAAATATTTGTCCAAAGAAGCACAGTTGAAGTCCTGCGATTATGGATTTAAAAAAAAAAAATCATTAGTTTGAATACTAAGATTAAGTGTTTGTGTTTATATGTATAAAAATAAGAACAGAAGAAAATACTCTGGGAATAGTCATACTGACAGATTAATTACAAGTAAGAAGATGTACTCAGTTTTCCTCAGTTGAATGTTATCTTTTAAGTGGACACTATTAAATGCAAAATAATAAGCTCATTTTTTACACTACACTATTAAAATAAGTTTGCCTTAGAATTTTTTTTTTAAGACAAGTTGAAGTTATTTTTGTAAGAAACCCCACCTATTTTATGCAGCCCAATATACCATTTAAGATTAGGGCTTGTTCTTCATGCCAGCACGATTTAACCAACTCTGAAGGTAATAAGCTTAGCATACTTTTAAGTGATTCAGTCATTTATAGCTGAGAGAAGAGGAGTTGAAAACGAGGGTTTTAAACTGGTGCTTTATGAAGTGACTTCCTTTTAAAAGTGATGGTAGGTCATGAACTAAGTACACTAATAATTTTCTGTCAACTTTGAAAGTGTCAAAACATCTTTGCTGAGTGACTACTCGTATAAACTGTTAGTTAAGGGCTAATAAGTAAATATCATCCATTGCTTTTCATTCTATAATTGCAAGCAAAATAAAAACACAGTTAAACTGGTATGTTTATAAGTTGGAGTTTTCTTCCTTTGAAATCATTCTACTGTTTCACTGATGGAAAGTCAGATTTGGAACATTAGCCCTTTGACGTGTCCTTCACACCCAGTCTTTTCTGGATTGAATGCTTTGTGCCTTTTCAGTGAGTTGTAGTTGCTTCGAGTTGATTCTGCTGGCCAGATCGGACTGGGTAATGAATGGTTTTGATTTTGTTGTTGTTATGGCTCTTATGTTTGTGTTGCCTGCTGGTCAGGCAACACTTATTTTTTTAGGTTGCTTTACGTTTATGTAGGGAAATTGGCACCAAGTACTAGTATGAATATTTTTTTTGTTTTCATCTCTCCTTGGCCTTTATAGCAACTGTAAAGCACTCTGGGCCTGTCTCTACGTGCTTATTAGAGGAATCTGACAACTAAATAAAATACGAGTAGTGTGTCTGCCGTCTCCTCCTTCCTCCTCCCACCTTTTTTTTTCTTTCTTTCTTTTTTTTTTTTTTGACTAATGAGTTACCATAACCACACAGTTCTACACTGAATGGCTTATTTCAGTTTGCCTAAAACTGAACCAAGAGGTGATGGTTGCAAATGCGTTTCTTCTTAGGAGCAGGACCCCAGGCAACATACAACTTGAGTTGATGAACTCAGGAGAAGTTAGGATTTGTAAAGTTGTGTTTGGATCACTCTGAGATTCAGTGCCAAATTTAAAATGACTAAAAATGTATTGTTTCATAAGGAGCAGGTAGCATTTCTAAAACTTTAGTATGGTAAATGTTACTTGCTATTAGAGTGACTAATGGATAATGTGAGAATAATTTTACTAAACAAGTTTTAGGAACGTTAGACAATTCTTTAGATTCTCCCTTTTCTTTGGCACATTCTTCTCTTGGTAAAGTCTGTAGGTTTTTTTTTTGGCAGGGGGGATTACCCTCTTATTTCCTCAAATTATTTCTACTTAAAGATACTTTTATCCTGGCATATTAGCATGCTTTCTGCACTTCTTCTTTGGGAATAGCATTAATAAGATAGACATAATAGGATTAGGTTGTGTGGAAGATGAGAAAAAGAGGTTTCGTAGAGAGAGTGCCATGTTTTGTTTACCCTTGTTTCAACTTGCTGTGTATTGATTTTAAATCTATGACAATTGAAGAATCCCCAAAGAATTTAAATTTAGCCTTTGCAGCCATTATGTAAAGAGAAATTAAGAATTATACTAAAAGAACAGAGGTTATACGAAAATAGACATACTTTTTTTTTTTCAAATTCTTAGGTAAAGAAGAAATTTACGTGCTTGCATTACCGTTGGAAATTCTAACCCTTTCTTGAGTGAAGAGCATGTACACTTACGGTTACTCCACCTCTTTGCTTGGTATTCCTGCTTACATTCAAGTTGGACAGTGTACAGTGGTATAATTACAAAACTTACTCCTTCCAACAATCAGACTTTTCATATCCCTATAGATAAAACTATTACAGTTGTTGAGTGTGGCTGCCAGAAACGAGTCCAGAGGTGGGCACTGAACTGCTCCGGGTGTATAATACATGTTCTCATCGAGGGGCTTGATGCTGTACATTAAAGTGGAAATGCTTTTGAACAGTTTTCAGTCTCAAATCATAAGTTTTGCTTTGAATCATTGAGGACACGTTTAAAAGCAGTTACAAAAATGTCTGAAATATCATAATTCGTTCTTTTGTCAATTGTATGTAAAGTATCTTGTCAGTTTTATAGCTATTTTGGCTGTCTCGTGTTTCTTAAGTACAAATGTCTTTATAGAAAAATTCAGTTCTCTGTGAAGACTAGGAAATGTCTTGTATATTGAACTAGTTCTTTGTGGTATTTTGATATTTAAAATAAATATAAAGTTCTTTGGTCCTCATAAAGCACATCTAGGCTTTATTGAACACCTTTCACAGCATGGGAATGTGGTGCCTCCCTAAAAACTGAGTGCAAAGACCATGAACAAATGGAAAACCAAGGATTCTGGGGCACATTTACTTCAATTGTATTTATTTCTCATAATCGAGATAGCACTTTGAAATAATTCACATATTGAATATAGAAACCATTACACTAATTAATGATTTTAAGTGGCTAATTAATATAAATTCAAATACTAACAGTAACTGCTACACCATGTTGAGTTGAAACAAACATTTCAGTGACATACTCGCAATGTTAATTTGACGAATAATATTCACAGTATGTAATAATGAATATAAATTAAGTGTATTTGAAAATTATTGTAATTCATACTAACATTTCTGCTGAAGAAAAACTGTGGTAGTGTTCTTATGCATCCATCCTACAGGATTCAAAAAACCTCTATACCAATTTTGTTTAAATATAAAGGAAACAGGATTCAACTTCAGGCCACATTGGGTGTTCGTGACTCTAATTTCGGATCTCACCTTCCTCATTTCGGTTTTCCACTCAAGGACTTGTCTGTACATTTTCTGTGTGCCCATACCCATAGCCATGCATTATTTTTAGTTTCCTGCCGTCTTTAGAGGCGTAGGGTCTAGAGGCAATAGCAAGATGACAGCCAAGCTGCCTGTGCATATATCCTGGTTTGGCTCCTGTGCTCTGTATTGCTCACCTGTGAAATGCAGGTAGGTGATGGTACCTAACTCACAGGGTTGAGGTGAGTATATAAAGGGCTTAACACAACTCCTGGCGTATAGTAATAGTAATTGCAAGCTATAATCATTATTATTAGATGCCTGCAATTCAAATGAAACCAAGGCATTTGCCAAGGGGTTGCCTGCCAGAACCATCACCTGTGAATTATTGGGGATCGCAGGTTTCATCTGTTTAGCTACAATAGCTTCGCTCTCAGTATCCCGAGTTAAGAGCCAGCACGTGAAACTTACGAGCCCCTGCTGTGGTCAGTCACTGAAATAAGCACGTTCACACAAACTGTACACTTAACTGCCTTCATTTTCTCCCATTCGGCCCAGGAAACCCGGAAAGGAAAGCTAATGAATATAATTCTGGGTGGGGTATGTTAGGTAAGAGGATGGCTTACGCCAATTTTTGCCTAATTAACGGTTTACCTAGGGTTGTCCCTGGCAACCGCAATGATTGCTGCCTTCCTTACTCTCCTCCCCTCGGCGCAACCTATTTACAAAATGAAAAGGCGAGGTTCAATTGTGAGCGACAGGTTCTAGGATGTTCAAAAACCCCGCCTCGGTTTTCGGCCCCTCCGCAGGGAGAGACGGGCGGCTGAGCGAGCATTTAAATAAAGCGCTGTCGTCTCATTGGCTAAGCGCTGCTCGCACGGATTCGCCCTTCTGCTTACTGATTGGCTCTGTGGGGAGGTGGGCGGTGCCGCGCGTGCCCATTGGCGGAGGAGGGAAGTTTAAGCCGAGGCAGAGGCCACACCTGTGTCGCCCTGTTTTGTTGGCGAGTTTGTGGGGAATCGTATCTTTTTTTCTGGGGTGTGAGCGACTGGAAGAGAAAGGGAGGTGAGTTCGCTTCCGCGACCTCCGCAGCCGCCCCTGAGGGAGGCGGTGGACGTCCTCGGGGTCCCCTTCCCGGAGCGGCCTGCCGGTGCGGGGCTCGAGCTGCCATGGCGACGCGGCGTGTGGGACGAGGCTGCTGGGACGGAAGCCCCACGGAGCGGAGGCCGCCGGCGAGGCTGCGGGAGCCCGCGGGCAAGGCGGAGGCGGCGTCCCCGCCGGTCCTGTCCCTCAGCCACTTCTGCACGAAGCCGTTCCTCTGCTTCGGGGACGTGCGCCTGGGCGCCTCGCGGACGCTGTCGCTGGCCGTGTACAACCCCAACGCCGAGGAGGCCGCCGTGACGCTGCCCCGCTGCCCGGCCGCCGATCGGGGCTTCAGCGTCTGGCCGCGCGCCTTCGTGCTGCAGGTGGGTCGTGGCGGGGGGCCGGGCCGCACCCCTTCTCCGCTGCCATCCGCCACCCTCCTAGGAGGGGTGCGGCTGGGAGAGGAAACTCGCAGAAGAGACGCCGTTGGAGAATCTTGTGTGTGTGTGTGTGGGGGAAGCCCTGGTCCCCAGTCTGCAGAAGGGGCGTGGGCGCTGAGAGCAGGTCAACTGCGCATGTGCGCAGCAGCCCCCGCCGTGGTTCAATAGACGATTACGTAGAGGAGCATTTTGCGTAGACGTCAGGCGTTGCGAGGACTCGTGCGGATCTAAAGTAATAGGCGGCCCTGTGCGAGTTAATAGTCGATCGCTTTTCGGATTGCCAGGAGCCCTTTGGTTAGAGCAGCGTTTTTTTTTTTAATTGCGTCCCATCACTCATCTTAACGCGTTTTCGTTTCCCTGCGTGTCAGGGAAACGGACTCCCCGGTAGAGCCAGGTCACCACTTCTGATGGAATTGGTGAGATTCGTTCTGGAAACGTGTGCCGCCAGAAAGCAAAAGCACCTCTCCCGGGCTGTTTTCCGCCAGCGTGTGTGAGGGGCTATTTTGCGTTGTTTCATGGCGAATGAATCATGTAGTTTTAATTTTATGAACGTTGTGTTAAGAATTTCCCCCGGGGCAGGTTTTCTGCCTGGCGTTGGCCAGAGGAACGTTCCCATCTTTGTCACCCAAGCCCAGAGAACTTCAGTTCTTTTGAATGCTGTGGCCTTTCCGTGGAGAAGAGCCTCTGCAAGTGTGAAGACAAAGCTGGGGGGGGGGTTGCCTGCTTGTCGGAATAGGGGTTCCTGAGACCGTAAAGAGGCTGCTGTCATCCTAGGTCCCAGACGCGGGTGTCAGCAGCGCTGGACCTGCTCCCCCACCCCCTGTAGGGTGTGAATGCTTGCCTTTCTTTCTCTGGCGAGATGGATGCTTTGTCTAGAGACAGAATACTTACTCCTTTTAGGTATATGGAACTCAAGTTTTTGTTTGTTTGTTTAAGAATTCACTCTTTTATAGAGTAAAAAGTTCACTGTTCTATTTTTCAAAACCAGCTGTTTCTGACGTTTGGTGGTGTCTGCTGTAAAACAAAACTTCGTCCTTGTTTGCCCTGAAAGACAGCAGACACAGAGGTTCGTTCTGCCCTGTCAGGGTTTTGCGTTTGGCAGATTCCTGCCAGGCTGAGGGGTGCAGGGGAGAGTCTGTGCCTGGGAGCCAGACTGCCTGGGTAGCAGGATGACATGGGCAAGATGCTGAAAGCCCCCTGGACCCTAACTAATTCTTCTGTAAAATGTGCGTAATCACAACACCTCCTTTCTCGGGATGCGAGGATTAAAGGGGTTCTAGAAGACGCCTGACACTGTGCTTGGAACATTCGTGTCTAACAAATACCAGTAACGACGATGACGTAGACTTGACAGAAGTTTGTGGGAAAAAGAAATTTAGTTGATTGTCTTTATATATTTTTTTTGACGAAAGCCTTCATAATGCAAGTTCTAATATATTTCAACTAGATGTACTGCACATACTCTAAATACGTCGACGTATGTGATTTGATTTTGAAAAACCACTGATAATTGAAATGATTGGGAGACTGTTGCATTTCTTCATATACAATTAATATTTTGTTATAATTTTATTTTGGTAATTTTGCTACTGTTACTAGTGGCTTTTGTACTTACAATGAAATGAGATAGGTTAGGAAAGTATATTTGACTTGTTAAATGTTATTATGGTATAGTGTTGGTGACTAACAATTATTAATCTTCTGTATTCTAAGATGTATATAACATGTTTTGGCTATTATGCATAAAAATGTGTTCTTTTGATTATAGCCTAAAGAAAAAATTGTTATTTCTGTTAATTGGGCACCATTAAAACAAGGCCGAGTGAGAGAGATTGTGACATTTCTTGTAAATGATGTTGTGAAACACGAAGTCATATTACTAGGAAATGCAGACGCGCCAAAAAAGAAAAAGGTAATAAGTTTTAATCATTCTGATATTTACACAAAGAAAATAAGATGTAAAAAATTATTTTGATAAGTCTTGGAGTGACATACATAGTATTCCTTATTAAAGATAATATTCAACAGCTGTCAATTTGTATGTTTTGCTTATTTTTGCAGAGGAGTCTTTGGGATACCATTAATAAGAAGACAGTTTCGGCCTCTTCAGGTCATGAGAAGAGGATTTCAAATATTCAAAATGTTAATCAAACGTTTAATGTTTCCCAAAAAGTTGACAAAGTTAGGAGCCCACTTCAAGCTTGTGAAAATTTGGCTGGTAATGCAAGCTGTTCTCCAACAGAAAACAATTCTTTAATCCTTGAAGAAAATAAAATACCCATTTCCCCTATTAGTCCCATTTTCAAAGAATGTCATGGTGAGACTTGCTTGCCACTTTCTGTACGTCGATCTACTACCTACACATCTCTTCATGCCCCTGAAAACAGGGAACTGTTACAATTAGAAGGTGCCAACATTTCGAAAGATTTTGATTTTAATGAGAAAGTCATAACCGAAACGTCCTTTGACTCCATGAATAATATTAATGGCCAAATTGAAGAGGATAATAAACTTATTCTTACTCCAAACTATTCTTCAACTTTGAACATTACACAAAGCCAAGGAAATTTTCTAAGTCCAGATTCCTTTGTAAAGAATAGCCATAAAGCTAATAATGAACTAGAATTAGTGACATGTATTTCACCAGATACGTTTATAAACAATAATTCAAGGCCTGTGCATTTGGAATCAAAACCTGTACATGAAATTTATCGGACAATTTTAAGTCCAGATTCCTTCATAAAGGATAATTATGGACTAAAGAAGGATCTAGAATCAGAGTTAATTAATCCAAATCTATCCCCTCATCAATTTGTAAAAGATAATATGGCATATATATGTATATCTCAACAAACATGTAACTTATCACCATTATCAAATGAGAATTCTCAGGCCTCACAGCCTCCTCAAAGGCAGAGAAAAAATGAAGTTTCACCATGCGTTCCTGAATGTCGGGGTTCAAAATCGCCCAAAGCTATTTTTGAAGAACCCAAAGCTTTAGAAATGAAGGCAAATTGTGACAGTTTTACAAAACCAAACCAGCCTAAATTTTCTGCAGTTCAGGATTGTTCTGGGTGCAGCCACAATACCCAACCTCAGAAACGCCCAATACTTTCTGCCACTGTTACTAAATTGAAGCCCACTTGTGCCAGAGAAAGCCAAACTGAGATTAACAGGCCAAAGGCAAAAAGATGTCTCCACAGTGTAGCAGGTGAATGTGAAAAAGTAGCTGATGATCAAGAAGAGAAAAATACTCTTCATGCTTATCTCCCAGTTATAGATCCGGTAGGAAGCAAATCTAAGAGTTGTAAAATGGTAGTTTCTCCTCCCTCCAAGACAGCTCCAGTTGTTCGCAAAAGAAAGAATGAGGGAAACAGGGAGGATGGAAATGTGATGCTTACAGTTACAGAACATACAGAAGTGCAAAAAATCAAAAGAATCCATTTTTCTCCTGTGGAGGTGAAAACATCGGCTGTTAAGAAAACCAAAAAGGTGATAACACCTACCTCGAAACTTATTAGCAACAGAGAGAAATTAAACCTGAAGAAGAAGACTGGTGAGTTGGTTGTAAAAACTTTAATAAAAGCTTACGTATCAAGGGGATATTTTCTGTTTCTTTGGGTTTCATAAATTTGCCTTTGATAAGCTGGACTTAACAAATGCTTTTCAGGTACCAGCTTGCTTAATGGGAGATGGCACAAATGTAATATGGGGCCGTATTCTGAAATAGCTGTGATCTTGTTCTTATTTAAACTTGATGTTTTGTTCGTCATGATTTTTCTGCATGACTTTTGATTTTTAAAGATTACTGCATTAAAATACGTATGTTGATGACTGAGTTGTTGACACCCTATAAGGAAGGACCCAGGGAAGTACTTCACTTGCTTCGCCTTAGTCAAGGCCTTTACTGGAAGGCCAGGGCGCTGCCTCCTGATACCATCCGATGGAATTCAGGAGAGGTCGTTGCACGCTCTGTGCTCCTGGCCACATCCTTCTCCCTCCGCCATTAATTAGGAACGAAGATAGGCCCCAGAGACCGGCCTTCCTTTGGGGAAAGCCTCATTGTTCCTCCCCCCATACTCACAGCCTAGTCCCACTGTGCCCGCTCAGTCCAAATGACCTCATGACCGTCATGGTCCAGGCAGCACAACAAAGCACGCTAGTTATTTCCCGATTTAAAAGAATCCCAGGACTCCCAGGAAATATCCCACGTCTGTATTTTCTGCTCATTTCTCTTGGAACAGACCCAAGTTAGAACCATTTTCTGTGTGTCTCCAACTCTTTAAAGTCTGTGCCCTCTGGGTTCACCATCGCTTCGTTAGTAAATACCTTTTCTGAATCCCCCTCATTTTGTTACTCTGCAGAAACCTGCCTGTCCCCTGAGAACACTGCTTGCCTTGCGACCCTCTCATTTTGTGTCTCTTGTCTCCTACTCTTCTGACCTTGGGGTTCCTGGTGGATACTGGACCACCTCCCTTCTCACATCTTCCAGACTTGTTTCTTTTTCCTTAAAAACAAAGAAAAGAGCAAAGAGCCCCAGAAGAGTTGGAAGCTCATTTTTCATACTATCCCATCCAAATTGCTCCTTGTTACAGTGAAACATTGCTCTCAACATTTTTCACCTGGCGTATGATACCTTCTGCAAACTACCACTGTTCTCGTTCCTTATGATTTCAAAATCCTGCTAGAAGGTCCTTCCAATATCCCAGCCTTTCGTTCCAGCCCACTTAGGCCACGCTCGCCTGCCAGCGGCTCCCTCTCTGATTGCAGCATTTTCTCTAGAAGCCCAACTCCAACATCTTCCTACCCTGCCAGCACCTCCAGTCCTTTACCCCGCCGCCATTGCCACAGCCCACACCTCTGACACGCGCTCTCTTTCTTACTTAGTCACTGTGCATTCCATAGTTCATCATAATCAATTCACCTCTCAGCCTCATGGTGCTTTGTCTAGGAAATTCCAATCCCAGTCCAACCCTGCATGCTCTCTGCCTGAACCTAGCTGGTTGGTCTTCAAATTCATGACCTCTGACCTCAAGTAAGCCCTTTACTCTCTCGCTATAGTTTCCTGGTTTATTGACTTGATCACTTTGCTACAGATTATTCAACCTTCCCTTTCCTCCTCCGGATGGATAATAGTTGCTATCATTTATCGAGCACTTTCGCTGCCAGACACAGTTGGAAGTGCTTTGCTAGCTAGTACTCCCTTAAACACAACAGTCACACAGAGTAGGTTTATTGTTACTGGTTTTAAAATGAGGAAACCGATGCTTTCAGAAGTTGTGTGATTCGCCTAAGGCAGTGGTTCTTAACCTTCCTAATGCCGCGATCCCTTAATACAGTTCCTCATGTTGTAGGGACCCCCAACCATAAAATTATTTTCGTTGCTACTCTATAACTGTAATTTTGCTACTGTTATGAATCGTAATGTAAGTATCTTTTTGTTTTCTGATGGTCTTAGGCGACCCCTGTGAAAGGATCGTTCGACCCCCAAAGGGGTTGCGACCCACAGGTTGAGAACCGCTGGCCTAAGGTCATGAGGTAGTAAGTGATAAAGCTGCGTTCTTTCTACCCAGCTAGTGCTGTGACCCTCACCTGAGCTGGCCATCTGCTTCCTGTTTCATGGGGTAATAGAAGTATTGAAGACACTCAAACTGTTCTCCAGTGGCTCTCGGTCCTCGGACTGGGCTGTGCACAGGCCATCGTGAGAGCAAAGGGAGGCACTGTTCTTGGCTTCCTGTGAATGTCAAGGACCTGTGAGATGTTTCAAGGTCGGCTTCCCATGTAATCTAATGGTTCCAGGCAGAAGGACAGTTTGTGTAAGGTTTCAGAATCGGGAATTTCTCCTGGTTTTTTAATGTTCAAATACAAAGAACCTCATAACTTAAGAAATATTATGTCACAGTTTGGTCATGTTTCTTATTTTCGTGGTATAGGTTTGTGATCCCTCCAAATCAAAGCCATGCCAACTTTTTCTCTAAAGGTCCAGATAGGAAATATTTAGGTTTTGCAGGCCATGTGATCCTTGTCTGAGCTACTGAACTCTGCCTCAGAGAAGGGAAAACAGCTGTAGACAATATGTAAATGAGAGAGTATAGCAGTATCCAACAAAATTTTATTTATGGAGACTGAAATTTGAATTTCAAATAATTTTCATGTGTCATGAAATATGACACGTGCTATTTCTTTTAAGGTTTTTTTTTCCAACTATTTACAAATGTAGAAATGAGGACCATACAAAAACAGGCAGCAGGCTGGATTTTGCGTGTGGGCCTTAGTTTGTTCGCCTCTGCTTTTATGAGTTCTTTGTCTATATTTAGTAGCAGTATAAGCTGCTTTTGAGGAAGTGCACTGCTATTCTGGTTATTCGCCACTGTGACTTTCAGTGCACTTTTCTTTGTAGGTACCACCTGGGTTAGGTGTCTGGAAATTGTGGAGTTCTCTTTCTCCATCATTTCCCTAGTCAGTTGGTTCTAAGGCTTGTTGGTTGTACTATTACAATAACTCCTCTTTCTAATTTGTCTCCACTGCCTCTGTTTTCATTTACATTCTCATAGCTAACCTGGGCCACAATAATAGCTTCCTTTTAGCGTTCCATCTCTAGTCTGGACCCTTTTCACTCCATTATCCATTCTGTTTCCTAAAGGATTGGAAGTCGGTCACTTCCAAGGTAGCTTTTATTGGCCTCACTGAGTCATAGCTTAGTGCCTGCCGCGGAGTATTTGCTTACTTTGTGCTAAATGGATATGATGTGGAGAATGCAAATTTTAACTTGAAATCAGTTTGTTCAGGGAATTTATTTTTTAATGCTATTATTCTGCTTTGTGATTTATTTTAGAGTCATTAGTATACAAAACTCCTAATTCTAAAACAAGCAAAAGGACAAAGCGCCTTGTTCCTGTGGCACAATCTAACCTGACCTTCCTAAAACCATTAAAAACAGGCAAGTGTTTTTGGGCTTTACAGTCTGCAAACCTGACATTGAATGAAGCATTAACATATTTCAAATGCAAATGAATTGTATAATACTTTGTTGTTGTTCAAGTGTGTATTCAGATAACAATGAGGATATGTCCTCAGCCTTTAATGAAATTGACGCAAGGTGACTCAGGATTTTTAAAAAACCAGGACATACTGCTTTAGTTTCCCTTTTTGCTTTGACTGCATATTGTACCCCCAAAAAGGAACTACTGTTCAGTGTTTTAAGGGGTTTTACTACTTAAAAACAGTCTTTTGCTATATATTGTATAATAATTTAAAGGAAAATTTCTTATGCAATAACCTAATTGTAATCTTAGACATTCCTCGACACCCAATGCCATTTGCTGCAAAAAACATGTTTTATGACGAACGCTGGAAGGAAAAGCAACAACAGGGCTTCACTTGGTGGCTGAACTTTATATTAACTCCTGATGACTTCACTGTAAAAACAAATGTTTCTGAAGGTAAACATTAAATTGATGTTTAAATTAAATAATACCCTTGTTTTAACAGATAGGGTTTAACGTGAATTGTTCTCCTTTAATTATACATATTTTATTCTAGTTAATGGCATGATTCATTCATTCCTTGATACAAATGCTAGAGATTGATTGTGTTGGTGAGAATTTTTAGGGAATTCTGGACTGAAAGTACTGAAATTTACTTTTTCTTCTTACTTTTCATTCTTACACATCAGCCAATGCAATTTCTAGGTGAATTATTTTAATGCAGATTCAATCTGAGTTAACAGGGAAACATGGCAGCTAAGAAATTCAGTTCAGAGTTAGCTGCATTAATAAAGTGTAATGTCCTGGGGAATACATTTAAGCCTGTGTGGCCTGATCACTTTAGGCAGAGTGACTCCGCCTTCTTTTTCAGTCTTTTTGTTTGTTTGTTTGTTTTGTCTCTCCTTCAAGTACTTTAGTTTTTGTCGGGAAGCTATAGAATTACAAGAGACCTGAAAACCAGTTGCTATAGGGAGTTTTTAAACATCTCAGGGATTCTCCTGGAAAAGCGAAGACTTAGGTGCAAAACAAGAAGGAAGCATGCTATCTTTCGCACATTTGAAGGGTTTTCTCTGAAAAGGAAACTATACTTGTGCTGCCCTCATAGAAATTATAGGGATTAATTCAACTCAAGATAAGGAAAATCCTTGTACATATTTAAATTGTCCAACTGTCATCTAGGCTCCATCCTAGGTGGTCATTTCTCCATTGCTGCAGCGACTGCTCAGGATTTTTAAGGAAGCATGTGTTTAGGGTAAAAGTTCATGGACCTTGGATTAGATGATATCTTTAAGGTCACTTTTCCTTTTTTACCCAAAGTAAACAAAGCCTGTGTTTTGCTTCTCTAGAGAAAATGTAGTTTATAAAAATTCAAATTACACTTCAAAGTTAAATTGATTTTTAAAACATCGCATTCCTTTTTGCTGTGTAACAAAGGTGGAAGCGGAGAAACCAGTTAGGCTCTTTGGTGGGCTTAGATGATGCTGTTTGAATTGAGTGGTAGTCGTGGAGGTTGTGAGAAGTGGTTAGACTTGGCACACCTTTTGCAGGTAGAGCTAACAGGTTGCAATGACAGGTTGGCCAAAGGCACGGAGTGAGCAGTGACACCTTTATTTTGAGGTGGAAAGGTGAGAGCAAGCTTGGAATGGGCCCAAATAGACTGCTTAGCCATCTTAAAGTACATTTACTGCTGGATTGAAGGATATGTAAATGCACTGTTTAACCAGAAACATTCTTCCTTTTGTTTTGATCCAGTAAATGCTGCTACTCTTCTTTTGGGAGTGGAGAGTCAACATAAATTAAGTGTTCCCAGAGCTCCGACAAAAGATGAAATGTCTCTCAGAGCTTATACTGCTCGGTGCAGGCTGAATAGATTACGTCGTGCAGCCTGTTGTTTATTTACTTCTGAAAAAATGGTGAAAGCTATTAAAAAGCTTGAAATTGAAATTGAAGCTAGGCGGTTAATTGTTCGAAAAGATAGACACCTCTGGAAAGATGTGGGTAAGAAAATTATAGAAATCTGAAGATTCTTTAAAAACACTGGAGATTTTGTATTTCAGAGTTAAAAATATACATGATTTGGCTTTGCTGCCTAAAATCTCACATATTTAAATATGCTCTTTTATATTTGAGTGGAAGTATAGTTTATTTAAATTAACTTTTTCATATATGATTATTTTTTTCCACTGATGTCTTTCCATGAAATTTTGATTAGTGGTCTGACTTTATTGCTTTTTACCTGCGTTTCAGGAGAACGGCAGAAAGTTCTAAATTGGCTGATGTCATATAATCCTTTGTGGCTACGAATCGGCTTAGAAGTAAGTATACCTTTCAGTTTTTGAAAAAAGGTTACCTTTTTTAATTATATACTTTTAGTAGCCTTTTTAAAAAAAATATTTAATTATTTTAAATTAAAGTTTATTGGGTGACAATTGTTGGTAAAGTTACATAGGTTTCAAGTGTACAATTCTGTAATCTATCATCTGTATATCACATTGTGTGCTCACCACCCAGAGTCAGTTCTCCTTCCATCACCATATATTTGATCCCTTGTATGGTTTCAATTATAAAGTCATTTGGTTACCTTAGTTGATCTTACAGTTTAAAATTAAGGTCCTTTAATAAATGCTGATTAGGTAGCTAGATGCTGTTATATTGGGCTGTCAGAAAAGTCATGATGTATTTTTTCTATGTTTTTCATTGCAAAAATGCGTCATGACTTTTCCAACAACCCAATATATTGTTGCCATTTCATTTTATAGCAATTTTCCTGTTTAGTTTCTTAAATCTGTATAATTTGGTACTAGATATAATAACAAGTATAGTAAGCTCCTTTTTGAGCATTCACAAATGACAATACCAGGCTGTTTTAATTACGTTTTCGAATTTAAAACTTGGCAAAACCCATTGAGATATGTATGATTATTTTCACTTCACTGACAAAACAGAAGCTTAGCTGGCAAGTGACTGCTGAATGCCAATAATTGACCAGGATTTGAACCTACACCCGTCTGATGCCGTTTTGTAACCATTTTGATGGAGCTCTGCTCATAAAAATGTCATCAGAATTTGATTTTTTCACATGGTGCATAGCTCAATAATATTTAGAATGTTAAAACTAATAGAATTAGAAAGACATTAGGAGTTGACTATTAAAAATAGTCAATTTTTGTTTAAAATTTGTGCTGTGTTTTTATTTCCTTTAGTCTTTTACTGGTTTAATTTTATATTTTCTTTAGGCTTTTTACCTTTGTCACATGGGATACCCTATTCAGTTTATTCTAGGTTTTGGAATAGGATAATCTTTGGAACTGAAAGGAATCTTTATAATAATCTGGCTTTTATTTATTAAGAAATTGGGACCTATAGAGAATAAATGATAAGCCCATTAATGTCACCTGACTTGATAGTGTCCTTGCTATAACATTTCTTATTTTATTGAATTGAAATTCGATTTCTTATTTCTTTCAATGAAAGGTTAATGAGAACATTACATAGTAACTGGCTATGCTTCACTTGTCAGCTAATTCTAGAATGTCGACTAAGTAGTGGAACCTCTCTCTGGGGCATGGCTCTTTTGTGGCAGAGGCAGAGAGCAGGCGAGTTAGACTCGCAGTGCTTTTCAATATCGTGTGCATCACGTCCACCCATATTCTATTGCCCAGACCAAACACAAATGAGGCAGGCGTGTATTGTTTCCCACAAGAGCCACACAGGTCTCTGGCAGTGGGTGGGGGTGTGTAAACGTCTTACAGGGAAGCGGGGGTGAGTAACTGGGCAAAACGCTCGACCTCACTGCCACACCTTAGTTTCTATGGGCCTGGCCTTTGAGGATTTTAAGAAAGCATCGAAGGCCAAAAAAAATAAGTAAATAATGATAAAATTCCTCTATTTTGGCAGGTATTAATACTTTCCCATGCTTTCGTCACTATATTTTGTCAATGTAAGGTTATTGAACATAATTTTATATGGTTTTAGTTTTTTGTAATTGCTTTAAAAATCATAAGCATAGTGGCATTAAGCTGGTTTCATATTTAAATCATTGATTATAAACAGATTTGTACTTCTCAAATTATTACCTTAGATGATTTACAGATGGTTTTTAACTTATCTATTAGAAATTTTGAATATGTAGGTTTCTGTTGCATCTTCATGATATCCTTAGTGGGACAGTTATAATTAAAATTGAACAACATACCTACATCTGAGAGTTCTTTAGCTTAAAGAAAAAAAATGTGAAATGCAAATATTGCTTGTCAGAAGATTTTAAAGAATTTATCTAAGTCCTGAGCTTTTGTCTTTTTCACTGTGAAGGATACCGTATACACTAAGAAACACACAAAACATATATGTACAGTTTAAAGGTTGTTTGGCAGATATCCATGTCACTTCCACACTATTTAGGAAGTAGAACATTGCCAGTTCTTAGAAGGTTGTTGTCTGCCTTTCCCCGTTTCATCCCTTTGCTTCTTCAGAGATAACCTAGTCCTAACTTTAGCTTCAATTTCCTTCCAGACAGTTTATGGAGAGCTCATAGCTTTGGAAGACAACAGTGATGTCACGGGGTTGGCCCTGTTTATTCTGAATCGCTTACTTTGGAATCCTGATATAGCCGCTGAGTTTAGACACCCCACTGTCCCTCACCTGTACAGAGACGGTAAGGAGCTCTACCACCACGGCGCTCCCCACCCTGCTGGAATGGCTTCTCCTCGAGCTGCTGTTCTCTGAAAATTTTACCTGCTAGAGAAACCAGCATATAAATAGGATCCTCTCTCTTTCCACTGCCCTTCTTCCCCCCACAACCCCCCAAGCATCCCCCATCATTGCCTCCATCACTGTATGGCTTTCACCTGCTCGTTGTCTCTGCCCACCCTCCCCCCTGACGTGGCTCTAAGCCCTATGGACAGCATATTTGCTTTAGTTTGCTCACCTCTGTGTGGCAACTAGGATGGTGCTGCACGTAGTAGGTGCTCATTAAGGGAGATGAACTGAATCACTCGGTGTCTTTGGGCCTGTGTTTCCTCCTGCACGGATTGGAAATACCCCGTGGTGCGTGCTCCATGCATTACTGTATTAAATGAATTCAATCACGTAAAGCACTGAGAATGGCCCGTGGTGCTTTTGGGTGCTCACTGTTACTCTGGTTACCAGCACTTTATTATCATCGTCATGTTTGATGTTAAACTAGCCTGTCACAGATTAACTTGCTATGTTTTTTTGTACTTTATTTAAGGTCATGAAGAAGCTTTGTCTAGGTTTACTTTGAAAAAGTTATTGTTGTTGGTTTGTTTCCTCGATTATGCTAAAATCTCCAGACTTATTGATCATGATCCTTGTCTCTTCTGCAAAGATGCTGAATTCAAGGTATAGTTTTCATTTGATATATTATGTTTCATATTTGAAATTTAAGACTTTTGCTTGCTTTCATTGTATATTTTCTTTTTACAAAATGTTTCTCAAAGAACAGTGCTCTGGAGTAGAATAGAATGCTTGACTGGTGAGTCCTGTTGGTAGTTCTAACCTCTTATTTCTTGTTGGCCAACACTGTACCAGCACATCACCCTAGTCTTAACTTGGATTTGAGAATGAACAAAACGATGGTTTTGAGGAATTAATCTGTGGGGAAATTTCTTTCCTAATTTCGTATGTTAGGAAATTCATGCTAATTTTTAGAATATATTATTAATTATGAACAAATTTTTAAGAGGTTTGAAATTGTAACTATATGAGGTTTGCATTGTTACCATATGATAGGAAACTGACAATCTTTTTATACTAATATTAATTTTACTTTATCTCTATGGGTACAGAATAATTTGAAGGATATTTTGTTGTTGTTGTTGTAAACAAATTAAACCACTGGAGTATAATACCTGCAACTTGTTTCTCCATAGGCTAGTAAAGAAATTCTTCTGGCTTTTTCACGAGACTTCCTAAGCGGTGAAGGTGACCTTTCCCGTCACCTTAGCTTATTGGGATTGCCTGTTAACCATGTTCAGACACCATTTGATGAATTCGATTTTGCTGTTACAAATCTTGCTGTAGACTTACAATGCGGGGTGCGTCTTGTGTAAGTATAAGAAATAGAATTATTGTACTTTATGGAACAGACTAGAATTTTCAGGAAAACAGTTTTCTGTATTTACACAATCTTTCTTGCTCTTTCATGTAATAGAATTAATTTAGAATTTAAAAAAATTTGGAATACACATCTGCGGCACTTTTGGAAAAATGGTGTCAATTTTGGTCCCAGAAACCCTGTCTCCTGCCTATATTTTTATTCCCTACTGGCATGTGACTAGGGTGTGTCAGTAGGAACTACTGATGCTCCGGAATAGGAGTTGAGAAAAGCATGGAACTTATTAAAATAGCAGACATTTAGATACCACTTAATGTCTGCAGTGGTTCCAGGAGTACTGCATCATTTGCAACCAATGCTAAGACGGAGAAGGACGGTGGCTTGCCCAAGTTTATACAGCGGTATTGGGGTAGAACTCAGGCTGCCTGGTGTCAAATCATATGATGTTTCCTTAGTAACAAACTGAAAGCCTAAAATTGACTTTGGTGTGCGTACAGTGAGTGTCCAGTTCCTGCTTCGGAAGGAGTGGCCTCCAGCAGGGTACTCGGTTGGCCCTTTAGGGTTTCTGGATTGGAGACATTCGTCTTGTTCCTAGGAAACTCTCTAGTTTGCTATATTTAACGTTTGTGAGGAAGGGGTCCCTTGATTTTTATGAATCTCCAGTTTTTCCAAAACACCATACATGTTGCATGTCACTTGCTTCCTTCTAAATTAAATTTCCGTGAATTTCCTTGTCTTTTCTGATTACATATTCTCACAAACAAGGTAAGAGTCTTTTGAGCTTTACTATAGCTTTCTGTCACCTGAGCAATTTTTATATATAGGCTACAGCACTTGCTGAAAACATGTCACATATTATTTTTATATTAGTTTAATTTGTTCATTTCATAAACCCAAGCCACTCCATCTATTTTCTGGCCAATAAGAATTCATATTTTTAGGCTTTTCCCACTTTCCATGAGGAGCACTGAATGGATGTATGTTCACCGCAATTTTTTTTCACAACAGAAGACATTTTTATGCTTTTACAGGAGTTACTGAGGACTTAGTTACTGAGGATATTGATGCTTTGTGGTTGTGCAGGAACTCTCACTAGTTAAAAGAGTCAGTCTTGCAAAACAAATTTCTGTTGTCTTCAGTGTCAGTGCAATGGACTTAGATCTTTGCAGTCCTTTGCGGATCCCTGGGAATGGCTGACCCACCCAGTGCCGGAAGTGATGTCGGCGTGTCGCTGCTGCATAGGCACTCCGAGCCTGGATTGGTGGAGGCATAGAGTGGCTTCAGGCTGCTCTCTATCTAATCTCTAGAAATACGAGTCTATAAACAGTTCTGCCTGACTTCAGCTCTATGCAGTAATCCGATGGGGCCTGCTTTTTCTGTGGGTTGGCGATTATTGTCTTGTAGATAAAACACTAGTGACCTGGATGTTATCAGGGGCTTGGATTTCAACTGTGGTGTATATGTCTTTGTGATATAGGCAGTCAAGTAATTTTATGGTAATCTGGTATAGATTTAAGAGAGTGGATTTGCAAGCTGAGGAAATGGGGTTTTCGTTTTGATGTTAGTTCTGTCATTACCAGCTATTGGGTTGTCGGAAAAGTCATGACGCACTTTTGCAATGAAAAACAGAAAAAAGACGTCATGACTTTTCCGACAACCAGTGTAATGACCATGGATGACTTCCTGAGCTCCTCTGGGCTTTGGATTCTTCATCAGCAACACCTGCTCTGATGGTGGGATTTGCCCCAAGGACTAAAATAAGAAAAGGAAGTACTTCCTTGATGTGTAGAATGCAGTTGCCCCTCAAAAAAAATCCTGTTACCTTTTCTTTTCACCCCCTTTCTGTATAGAACCCTGTTATTTTGTTCATGTGTGCTTTTGTGTGTGTATGTCTCATGTTTCTTTCTTATATTTGTTCATTGACCTCAGCCCCAGGCTTAAAATGAGAAATAACTCTATTTGCTGACTATGGCACAACAAGGTTTTGATAGAGTTTTGGAATCTTTCTAACCTAAAACTCTTTAAATTGGGGGGATTTCTGTGGGTGATAACTGTATTTAAATGAAGTTCACATTTCTTACATGTGTTTAATATAACCATCTCATCTGAAAACCCCTTAACCTGCTAGGCGAGCCATGGAACTCCTCACACAGAGCTGGGATCTCTCAAAGAGACTCCGAGTTCCCGCCATCAGCCGTCTGCAGAAGGTGCACAACGTTGACCTTGTCCTTCAGGTTCTGAGGGCCCGAGGGATCCAGTTAAATGATGAGTATGGTGAGCTGAGTCACGCTTTCTCTTCCCGATGACAACATTTATGTGCCTGCATTGTGCTGAAGGGCTGTCTTTTCATTTGCAGGAAGCCCCATCCTGTCTAAGGATATTGTGGATAGGCACAGAGAAAAAACTCTCGCATTGCTGTGGAAAATAGCGTTCGCTTTCCAGGTATTCTATATACATTAGGTACATTTGCACTTTTTATCAGTTTGTCAAATCAACACTAACAGTTGTAACTACCACTTAGTAGACCTTATTCTGTCCCAGGAACTGTGATAATTGCTTTCTGTGTATTCCAGTTTTATCTTCCCAGCACTCTTATGAGGTAGGTGTTACCACCACCTCACAGGTGAAGAAACTGAAACAAAAGGTCACATCACTGATAGGAAGTGAGGATGAGATTGGAACCAGGCTGGTGTGGCCTTAAATCTCATGGACCTAACACTACGTGTTCCGTCACGTCTGTGTAGGCTCGTTTGCTTTAAAAAAAAAAACAAAAAAACCAGAAGAAGACTTGAACTTCTGTGGGTTAAAAATAATATATGAAAAGGTATATTATCCTTTTAAAGACAAATTTATCTTTTTTTTATGTCTGTTTCAGGTGGATATTTCTCTTAATTTAGATCAGTTAAAGGAAGAAATTGACTTTTTAAAACTCACATGGAGTATGAAGAAAACAATGTCTGCACTCTCATGCCATTCTGATACTGTTCTCAATAAGAAAAAAGACAGAAGGTTGAGTAATCCTTTTGAACAATATAGTGAAAGCATAAAGCTGTTGATGGAGTGGGTAAATGCTGTTTGTGCCTTCTATAATAAAAAAGTAAGTTTCTTCGTTTTTGTTTTAGCCAGTATGTTTAAATAAATTTTGGCTAAAGTCAATTAAACTTAATGCATAAAATTTTTTTTTCATTTCTTAAATAATTTTTTATTTATTTATACATATATATATGTATAATGTATATATATGTATATATATGGAGATTATATATATATATATCTCTCTCTCCAAACTTTTCATCCAGTGAGTGAGGGCATTATCATATATCATATTATCTAATCTAAGATATCACCAGTTATATAAATCATGACTATTTTATGAATCACTAAGAAAAAAAAAATGCCCTAGTTGGGGGTGTTAATAGGAGACCCTTGCGTAGAACTGGGGCACCAAGGATCACACACTTATAATACAGGTAAGTGCAAATAAACCCACAACCAGAAAGGGACAATAGGAAACCTTACCACTTGGTAGACGGAAGAGGAAAAAAAATCTAAGTTGAGTCTTGTTATATTGATGCTGTATGTTTACATGAAATAGACCTTTAAGTATAAATACATGAAAATGAGTTGTTCTGACACATGAATAAAATATTTGGTAAGGAGAATAAAACATGAAAAATGATACAGAGTACATGTAACTAAATATGGTAAACTTATATCCTGAACAAATATCATTAATACAAAAATGGTCAAATATATGGATGAACCTCCAGGTTTTAATTAAGTACCAGAGAGCCACTGAGGACTCTAGGGAGAATGTGCTCCGTGCCTTTCTCTCGTGACTTCTGGTGTTGGTGGCGTCCTCGGCGTTCTTGGCTTGTAGACATAGCACTCCAGCCTGTACCCTCCCGTGGCATTCTCTGTGTGTGCCTGTCTCCGTCTCTGCTTTTCTTATAAGGATGCTTCTCATTGTATTAGAACCCACCTTAATCCTAGATGACCTCATCTTAATTCATTAAATCTTCAATGGTCTTTCCAATCAGGTGGAGAATTTTACAGTGTCTTTCTCAGACGGCCGTGTGCTGTGTTACCTGATTCACCACTATCATCCGTGCTACGTGCCTTTTGCCTCCATATGTCAGCGTACCACTCAAACGGTGGAATGTGCACAGACCGGATCGGTGGTACTCAATTCATCCTCTGAATCTGATGAGAGTTGCCTGGATATGTCTCTTAAAGCACTTGATCACGGTCAGTCCTTGTTGGTTAATTAACATTTCAACCTTATCTTTGCCATGTCTGATTTTTGGCCAGAGCAGTCTAATCTCTCTTTTTCACTTGCATAGTAGAAAATACGTCAGAACTATGCAAAGAACTCCTAGAAAATGAAAAGAAGAATTTTCAGTTGGTTAGGTCTGCGGTTCGAGACCTCGGTGGGATCCCTGCTATGATTCATCATTCAGATATGTCAAATACAATTCCAGACGAAAAGGTAAGTAAAAGCATTTGCTCACTAACAGCTGAATGACAGGGCCTCAGAAGGTGACAGGAAGTGGACTCCTTTGTGTCGATCTTGTTTCTATCTTTTCTGTTTTCTAGGTGGTTATTACCTATCTGTCGTTTCTTTGTGCAAGGCTTTTGGATCTCCGCAGAGAAACTCGAGCTGCTCGGCTCATACAGACAACCTGGAGAAAGTTTAAACTGAAGCACCATCAGGTACTCCTAAAAAAGGCAAACATTACGACGCAAATGCTAGTTCGAGTGATTATCGATACGGTTTTTACATTTTACTGATGTTTGAAATTACTGAGGAAATTTTGATAATCACATGTGCTCTGAGTTGGGGACGGATATTTCTGCCTAACTCCTGATGTCCCCTTCGTTGGGCATATCTTCCCGTCTCTGTCCACCCTTTCGCTTTGTCTGCTCTAGGGTAAGTGGCATAGCTTATCCACTTTGTAAGTTTGGGAAAAATAAACTGGGGGAACCTGACTCAGCCACCCCTCCTTCCCCTGGGAACCTGACTTGCCTCCAGGGAACAGGCGCTGTCCATTCATTTTTCATACTGTGCCCTGGAGGCTTGACCTCAGTTAGGGCTGCTTGGGCCTGGGTGTCAAGTGTCTGATACTGCGGTTCAGTTAGCCAGCATGTTGTCTGCCATGAAACTGTTTCCAGTTTACCCTTTGTTGTTTTAAAGTAGTTTGGTGTTTATTTCTCAAAATGTTTAGGACCCGGTCACTGACGTAGAGATGCTATTATTGTTTCTCTTTGTGGCCCCAATAGTGTGAGAATTTGCATTCACATAAAATGAGTGTTTTCTTGAGCTCTGAGAACAGTGTCATTTTTGATAATCTGAAAAATAGTCTCCTTGATCAAGCTGAACAGGCTATTTTAATCCTTTTACCTCCCTAATCCTACCACTAATAAAGCTATATTTATTTATTCATTTGGAGACATCAAACCAAATAAAACAAGCAGCCACGCTTAATAAATTTTATCAGATATTTCAGAAATATGTTCCACCCGATTTTGGTCCTCAGATTTGAATTACAGTGCGTTTCTGATAAAGTTCTTAGTGTCTGTACAAAGCAGCTACATTCTGGCCACTCTTAAACATGCTGTGTATCCTCCCCTCCCGTGTCAGAGTTGGGAGGAACACTGATTGAAATAGGTTGCCCTGCCCCGCGCAGTCTCAGTGGGAAATGGGGAGGGGCTTACGCAGCGGCCTTCTCTGCGGCCTGCCATCCTCCATCCTCCGGCCTTTGTTCCCCTCTTCTGCTCAGGCCTGCCCACTTGCCCACGTGTCTCTTGGAGGATAACTTTGTACGTCTGGAGGCTTCTTGAAGAATTGCTTTAGGAAAGCTTTCAGGCAAGACTCTCTTTTGGTCAGTCCTCACATTATTTCATTCTTTTTATATGACATTAAACGAGAGATTTAAAATTCTGAGAAGCAGGTCTCAATCAGAATGTTTTGGTTTGTTTTTTAAATAATGATATCTGCTTCCCAAGATAGCCTTTTATGAATCAGATATTAACTGCAGAGTTTTCTTAGCCTTTTTTTTGGTGAGATCCTTTTCTTTATCCCTTTAGTTCAGATCATGGAAATTCCCCTTTTATGAAGACCACTGCTTCTCCTTCCTCCAGGTGCTTCTTTTGTTATGTAGTAGTACTGTAGCACCCAGTTATTTCATTTGCTATTTAGATCATTAAGCAGTAGGTTCCCTCTATATTCTAGTAGAAATATTAAGCGAGTAAGCATGTAGACATTGCCCTGAGGTAGCTACTTTTCAGGTTTTATAGTTTGCTTTCATGCCTCTGATGTGAATCGTATTAACTGTCCATTGAGAACAGAATGGCTCCAGTGGTGACAAGGCAGCACTGGCCAACAGCCACCCTTACCCGGTGAGTGAAGCAGAGTCATCCAGGGGTCCCCTGGCACATTCCACCTCTTAGCTCCTGTCAGTGAGGAGGCACCAACTCTAAAGCACAGACAACTCTTGTGTTTGGCCCGTATACAAGCAAAATAGAAGTAAGTTGGTAACAGTGTAGGATTAGAAATGATGACACGCAGTCTGACTTAGTTCGAGAAGAGGCAGCGACCGGGACCTGGGGACTGTCCTCATTAGTTCATGCAACTTCACATGCTTGCTAGTTTCTGTAGCATGTGCTTCTTTGCATTTACCTGCTTTCCATCTGGAGCTTCTCTAACGTCACATGAAATTGCTTCCTGTCACTATGCTTGAGGCGGAGACGATTTCCCGACCAGGGTAAGTTGCAGCTGACCTCAGCCTGCTGTATCTGAGAACACCCCGGGCACTTAGAACTTTTGACTCAGATGCTGCTTTTGAACTGCATCGTATTTTTTTAAGCCAATGGAGGGTGCTTTTATTTTCACCTGATTTGTTTTTTTTTTAATTGTGCTAAAGAACACATATTGTAAAATGTGACTGTTTTTAAGTGTGCTATTCGGTAGCGTCGGGGGCACTGACACTGTGTTAGACAGAGCTCCTCAGAGCTCCTTAGAACGGTCCAGTCTTTTCTTGCTCAGCAGAGTGAGCCAGTGTGTGGCCTCCACGGGTCCTTTGTATTTGCTTCAGACCATTGATCGCCTCTCTTCTTTGTCAGAATCTCGGTTTGATCCCTTCCATAGTTGACTGCTCCATGCTGTGTAGTTCCCACCAGAGACACCAAGAATTGATTACAATTAAATTATAAGTAGACTCTGTAGTTAGTCTGTGTACAGCCCACAAAGGGTCATCAGACACGCTCTAACTTGTTTCTTACCGTCAGAGGGAACAACTCATATTCTAGTTTCCAATTCAGGTGAGCCAGCGTGACCTAAATCTAGCCTTGAAGGCCATAGCAAAGTGCTGAGAGTATGAGCTCTGAAGCCAGACTGCGTCCTATGGTGGCCCAACAGTCTGTCTGCTGGGGGTGCCTGGTGGTCACGAGAGTAGTTGGTCCCTGCTCACCTCTTATGGTCAAGGTTAAATAAATTATTACTCATGGAGTGTTTAGAATGGTGCCTGATACCGGTGAGTATTTAGTATATGTTGTTACTCATCGTGATTCGTTATCAGAAGTAACAGGTAGAGAGGTGCAGGGTCCTGGTCTCTTCGGCCATGACTGTTGGGAGGCCCTGATGCTACAACCAATATTCTGCTCTGTTCAGTTGAGCCTCTGTGGTTTGAAGCCACATGTGTTCTAATGTAAAGGGGTATTTTGCTTCTCTCTTTTTGTGAATTCCTTTGTTCAAATTGTAACATAGCCTTATATTGCAAAGCATTTTGTTTATTTTAGCATTTTTTTTTCTTTTTCTTTCATACAATCCATCCCTTTTTTAAAAGTTAAGCATGAATTCACTGGACCTGAGAAACATGCCATATTTAAGTTGCCTTTATATTGACTACTGAGCATTTGTAATGTATCAAACATGTCTGTGATCTATATCTTACGATGATATTTCCTAGGAGTCTGTGTTTCATCATATCAATATATCTGCTATTCTACCTATCAGCCATTTCAACATTCCCGGAAGTATCTCTACTGCAAAGAGGGGTCTGGGTGTGTTTTATTTCTAGGATCAATTTGATTAATATTTAACAGATGATCTTCTTACAAATAATAATTTAGGGTCTTAAGTGATTAAGTGTTTCATTGTTTGGATTGTTTTGTTTTGTTTTTTTTAGGAGAGAGACAAAGCTGCAATAATTATTCAATCAGCTGTAATCAATTTTCTAACTAAACAACGATTGAAAAAGAAGGTTAACGCAGCATTGGTCATTCAGAAATATTGGCGAAGGCTCTTAGAACAGAGAAAACTATTAATGTTAAAAAAGGAAAACCTAGAAAAAGCTCAGAATAAATCAGCATTAATAATTCAGGTATAGTATCATGGAATTTTTGAATTTTAAGAGTTTGAATGACTTTTTAAGGAAGAAAGTGAAATATAATGTTTTAAATTATTATATTTTAGCCTTCTGTGTTTTATATCGCACTTTAACAAATATTTCACACCTCCCACTACCTGTGAGACTGCTATGTCCGCGTGATGCTCAAACAGCTGGGAATGCCTTCTTTCCTCTGGGGGAGCAAACAATCTGATTCTACCCCTTTTGCTGTGTTGTTTTGTTTTAGAGGTTTGCAGTCCTCCCCTCAGTGGGACATGCTGGCACACGGTGCCTTTCTACTTTGTACATCCATGTACCAAGCTCTCTTTTATCTTTACTGTGAACCCTGGAAACCGCGTTTGGGATAAGTGTGCATGTTTTCCTTAGATGGCACACAGTGGAAATATTGCTATAGGACGCCTATGTTATTTTTCTACTTAGTAAAACACATGTTAACATATCTACTTTATAGAGTAGACATACTCCTTACATGTCTGTTAGCTTTGATGTTAGATCCTATTTTAGAAACATCAGAGAGGGGTACTGTTTAAATTTGCCCTGTGGAATGCCATTGACATTTCAGCCCATAATTTTATAAATTTGGTAATTTTTGCATCTGACTACTGCTACTAATTAGTGAGGGATTCTGGTAAGATAAATGATCTTTCTTTTAAACCTTTTTTTAATGTGAAATAATACACATAGAAAATTGCACAAAACACCAATGTAGAACCTGACGTACTGGTTTTTCTCAAAGCCGAATACCCATGTAACCACCACCTAGGTCAGCAAGTAGAATATTGGCAGCCTTTCAGAAGCCATTTCTCAGCCAGTTAGCTTTCCTACGCCGGCAATGATCCTAATATATACTAATCACGCATTTTTCCTTCATATCTTCCTTAAATTCTGTAGTTTTGTCTTGCTTGTTCTTTGAGACTGGCTTTTTTGTTTTTGCTCATCATAATGCCTTGAGACTCATCCAAGTTGTTTATTCCTTTTTACTGCTGAGTATTATTCCATCATATGGATGGACCACATTTTGATTATGCATTCATCTGTTGAAGGATATTTGTGTTGTTCTCAGTTTTAGGTGATTTCATGTCATTAGGGTAAATATTGCTAGGTCATTTGCTAAGTGTATGTCTAACTTTGTAAGATGCCGCCAAATTGTTTTCTAGCATGGTTATTCCGTTTTGCTTTCCCACTCCTGTGCCAGAGTCGTAACTGTTCCATATCCTCACCAACACTGTGTTGTCCTGCTTTTCAGCCCTTTTGACAGGTGTGTAGTGGTGTCTCATCTTGGTTTAATGGCTAATGATGTCTGTTTTCAAATGCTTCCTTGCCTTCCAGATATCTTCTTTGGTGAAGTATCTGTTGAAATCTTATGCCCGTTTTTATTGAGTTGCTTATTTTAGTGATCTTTGAGTTGTTTCTATATTTTGGATACAAGTGTCTTTTGTCAGTGATTTACATCTGTTTTCTCCTAGTTTACAGAAAAAGTTCGCTCATCCCTGATCTTCATGAGTGTTCTTAAAAGAATGTGTATTCTGTTATTGTTGGATGGAGTGTTCTAGAAACGTCAGTTAGATCCACTTGGTTGATGGCGTTTAGTTCTTTTATATCCTTACTGAGCTTCTGTTCGTTCTTTTACTGAGAGAGCGGTGTTTAAGTCTCCGGCTATAACTGTGGGCGTGTCTTTCTCCTTTCAGTTCTTTCAGTTTTGTCTCCATGTGTTTTGAAGCTGTGTTGTTAGGTTCATACACAGTTGGGATTATTATGTCTTTTCGGTATTTCACCATTATGGAGTGTTCCTTTTTATCCCTTGTAATTTTCTTTGCCCTGAAGACTCCGTTGCTTGCTACTCACATAACCACTACAGCTTTCACTTGATTATCATTTGCAGCGCATATTTTTATCCTTTTTTATTTTTAATTAACTACCTATATTATTATATATGGTGAAGTCTAGATAGCATATAGTTTTTATATTTTGAAAATCTGTCTTTTAATTGGTGATTTAGGCCATTTATATTTCAGGTATTAATTGATATGTTTGGATTTAGGTCTATCATTTTATTGTTTATTTTCTGAATATTTGCTTTTTTTTTTCATTTTTCTCTTTCCCCATATCTGTCTTTTCAATTATTTGAACACTTGTTAGTTTTACATCTTAGTTTATTTTGTTTATGACTATATCCTTTTGTACAGGATTTTTTTTTAGTAGTTGTTCTAGGGGTTACAGTATACATAACTTTTAATCAACTTAGAATGAATATTTTATCAGTTTAACTGGAATGTAGAAAACTTACCACTCTCTAGGTCCCTTTGGGCCCTCCCCTGCTTTCATATGGTAGTGGTCTTATTACATCTACATACAACTAAAACATCAGGCAGGCAGTGTTATCTTTTTGTCTTCAATCATAATAAATATTTCAAACAACACAGGATAATTAATGTAGATATTTATCATTTCTGTTGCTTTGCTTGCTTTTTTTGTACTACATTTTTTGCAATTTATGAACCAACAATGATACATTATTATTAACTGAAGTCCATGGTTCACACTAGGGTTCACTGTTTGTGTTGTGTAGTTATGTGTGTTTGGCAAAAGTCTTGCTCTTAAAATCCTCTGGGCTCCACCTCTTCATTACTTACCCTCCCTGGCAACCACTGATCTTGTTACTGTCTCTATAGTTCTGCTTTTTCCAGAATGTCATATAGTTTGAATTCATCACTATGTAGCCTTCTCAGCTTGGCGTGTCTCACTTAGCAATATATATACATTGAAGGTTTTTTTACATCTTTTCCTGGCTTGATAACTCATTTCTTTTTTATCACTGAGTAATGTTCCATTGTATGAATGTACTTTTTTTTAATCCATTCACCTATTTGAAGGATATCTTGGTTGCTTCTCATTTGGGGCAATTATGGATAAAGGTGTTCTAAACATTTGTGTGCAGGTTTTCTGAAGACGTAAGCTTTCGACTTCTTTCAGTAGGTACCTAAGAGTGCAATTGCTTGATTATGTAATAAAACTATGTTTCTGTTTGTAAGAAACTGCAAACTGCCTTCCAGAGTGGCTGTACCATTTGCATTCCCACCAGCAATGAATGAGAGTTCCAGTTGCTCCACTTCCTGACCAGTGTTTGACTTTGTCAGTGTTTTAGATTTCTGCCATTCTATTAGGTGTGGATTGGCATCACGTTGTTGTTTCACTTTGTAGTTCTCTAATCCCATTTGATGTTGGGCATCTTTGTATATGCTTATTTACCATTATCTATCTCCTTTGGTAGGAATTTAGATCTTTTGCTTATATTTTAATTTTTATTGCCTATTTTCTGATTTCTTATCATTGCATTTTAAGGGTTTTTTGTATATTTGGATACAAATCCTTTATCAAATATGTATTTTGCAAATATTTTCACCTAACCTTATCTTTTTGTTCTGTTAAGTCTTTCCTGAACAAAATTTTTTAATTTTAGTGAAACCTAGCATCAATTTTTGTTTTTTCATGGATTATGCTTTTGGTGTTATTTCTGAAAAGCCATTGCCAAATCCAAAGTCACTTAGGTATTCTACTGTTATCTCCTAGAAGTATTATAGTTTTACATTTTACATTTAGATCTATTATCCATTTTAGTTAACTTTTGTGAAAGGTTAAGAGTCAATGTTTAGATTCATTTTTTTTAATATGTCCACTTGTTTCAGCACCATTTGTTGAAAAAAGAAAACAGACCTATTCTTTATCCATTCAGTTGTCACTGACCTGTTGACTGTGTTGTATGGGTCTATTTCTGGGCTTTCTATTCTGTCCCATTGGTCTCTTTGTCTATTATTTTGCGAATACCACATGGTCTCCATTACTGTAACTTTATAATAAGTTTTGAAGTTGGATAATATTTGATTTCCAACTTTGTTCTTTGTCAATATTGTGTTTGCTATTTTGAGTCTTCAGCTTCTCCATATAAACGTTAGCATTTGTTGGGTGTAGGCCACAAGTCTTCTGATCAACCTTCAGCGGGTATGACTTCAATGTCAGTTCCTTTTTTCAAAGCCTTTACAGTGATAATTGTACAGTTCCATGTGTGTGTCACCCACTAGCCAGTCTGGAGTCCAGGTGGTGGTCTATCTCTTAACTCATTTCTCAAAGTCTCGTCTGCTATTAGACCCACATGTACACAGCTTCTCGGTGACCCCAGGGATTCATCAACAACATAAAGGGAGTGCGTCCCTGAGCTGTCCCTTCTCTTTAACCATCCTGGTACTCTCCGGGTACTTAGGGCTGCCCTGTTTGGTCCTCCAGCCAGAAAGCTGAAGCTTTAGTTACTCTGGAATGCCCTGTTCTTTCCAAACCATTTTGCATAAATAAGCTTAACTTTACTTGGACGAATGTTTTAATTACTTACGCATCTCTTCCTAGTAAGAGAAGTAATGTGGTGTGCACATCATTTCTTGTCAGGCTGAAGGGTAGGAATGAAATCACAGTCAACACATAGTGGAGGGAAAAGGCCATATCTACTGGGGAAAACCTCGAGGGTCAGCAAGGTGTACGTTCTCCCTACCTGCCCTCACCTGTGGGTCAGGGTGCGTGGGCCAAGCGCAGGTGCGTGCAGAACAGGCAGAGCTCTCTGGAGGGCGGTGCCAGCCCTGCACTGCTTCCTTCTTATGTGAGAGACGTTGAGATGCCGCAGGAGGCTCCCCAGGGCCCGTCCCAATCTCAGCACTATTTGGAGTGTTTTAGCCGAAGGAATGGTTTCATCGCTAGAAGGACACCCAGAGCTTGATGACCAGTAGCCAGGCGCCATGTAGAGACCCACAACTAGAATCAGCTCGAGACTCGGTGGCTCTCTCTGTTGAGCTGGCACATTGCTGGGTTACCGGAGGGGTTAGGGAGTGTGGGGTGGGGTGGGAAGGAGGCGGCCCGGCTGCTTTATCGCTTCTTAAGTCTTTCCAGAATTCTGATGCTTAACCATGAATCTGTAATTCCTAAATTGGGGAAAAGGAAGTAATTTTATTTCTAACGAGTGACTAGGCTCACTTATTTCTCAAATTCCTGAGTTTATGTCATCAGGCCTGCAATGTGATGGTATAGGATCCCTCACATAGTTTCCAATCGTTATAAGATAGCTTAGTGACCTTGATGAAAGGCAGATATAAGATCCAGAGATACATATTCATAGGAAATTACTTAGAACCAGTAGATAGCAGAATATTATTATAGTTTTACTTTGATTCTTCTAATATGTTATCCTAATATAAAATAAATTTGCTTATATTTCTTCCGTCTCTGGAATACAAATGCCATATATATATCAGGAGTGAGAGAATGATTTCTGAATTGGCCACAGCTGTGTTCATGTAGAAACTAAGCTACATACAAAATAGACAAATATCTTTTTCAAAACTATTGTTTTTTAATGTGTTAATTTTTAAGCATAATGTTAGAAAAATTAATACTTTCAAAGGTGTTACGTATAGAAAGTTGTGTCTCTTTTTATTTGTGTTCTTTCTTACCTTTTTCAGAAATATTGGAGAAGATATTCCACTAGAAAAAAGTTTCTGAAATTGAAGCATTACTCAGTCATCCTGCAATCAAGGATAAGAATGATAATTGCTGTTGCTTCTTATAAACGATATCTTTGGGCTACAGTTACAATTCAGAGGCATTGGCTTGCTTGCTTAAGAAGAAAACAGGATCAACAGAGATACAAAAAGCTAAAATCATCAACCCTTATAATCCAATCTCTGTTCAGAAGATGGAAGCAACATAAAATGCAATTGCAAATAAAAGCTACCATAATATTGCAAAGAGCCTTTAGACAATGGCATGCCAGGAAACGCTCTAAAGAAGAAAAATCTGCTGTTGTCATACAGTCGTGGTATAGAATGCACAAAGAATTACGGAAATACAGTCATATTAGATCTTGTATTGTTATCATCCAGACAAGATTTCGGTGCTTTCAAGCACGAAAGTTATATCGAAGAAAGAAAGAGTCTGTACTGACTATCCAGAGGTACTACCAGGCATATCTGAAAGGGAAGACCGAGCACACCAAATATTTGCAAAAACGGGCTACAGTCGTTCAACTACAGGCTGCTTTTAGGGGAATGAAAGCTCGTCATTTACACAGACAAATCAGAGCTGCTTGTGTTTTGCAGTCGTATTGGAGAATGAGACAAGAGAGGTTTCGATTTCTAAACCTTAAGAAAATTATCATCAAATTGCAGGCACACGTAAGAAAATACCAGCAAGTACAGAAATATAAGAAGATGAAAAAAGCCACCCTTGTCATTCAGATTCATTTTCGAGCTTATGTTTCAGCCAAGAAAGTTCTAGCATCTTACCAGAAAACACATTCTGCTGTCATTGTTCTACAGTCTGCATATAGAGGAATGCAAGCCAGGAAGAAGTTTAATCACATCCTAAGATCTATTGTAAAGATTCAGTCATATTATCGAGCTTATATTTCCAGAAAAAAATTTCTGAGCCTAAAACATGCTACCGTAAAGTTACAGTCAATTGTTAAGATGAAAAAAACTCGTAAACAATATTTACATATAAGAGCAGCTGCTCTGTTTATTCAGAAGTGGTACCGGTCCATAAAAATGG